ATTGTCTTTTGTATGCTGCGGGCCCCCTCCCTTCCCGCCCCAGCACCTGGCACACATATACATGCTCCATATATATTTGCTGAATGAGAATAAGCAAACAAATGAGTGATTGAAAGCTCTGTTGACACCACCTGACATGTATCCCAAATCCATCCGTGTATGCCCACGGTCACTGCCATCTCTCTCCTTTATATCTTCATAGTGTGGTTCGTTGGCACGTTTAGCAAACATTCGCTGTCATCGGAGCCCTCACCACCTGAAATCATCTTGTCTATGCGGTCTTCATCCCACTAGGTTGTGAGTCCTCTCAATTTCCCTAGACGCCCCCTTACATTTTTTAAATTCTTGTAACCATTAGGGGGCGCTATGCTCCTTCGCTGGACATACCCAATATATCAAAATTAGGCAGGGGTGGGGGTTGGGGGCGGTGTTAAGGAAAAGATACTCCCCTCAGCCCTCTTGAGCCCCCCTTCCACAGGAGGGCGGGGAGGGCAGTGCAGCCTGGAAACGTCTAGCTTTGTGATCTTGTAAGCACCAAAATGTTCCATCCCCAAACATCCTTTGCTGTCTAGGCGTCCTCTTCCTCGTCTGTAAGATGGGCTCCAGTTTGGAATGACGGCAGGCATCAGAGACGGTGGCGGTGCCAAGACCGAAGAGAGGAAGACAGGTTGGCCAGCCCTGGGCTCCGCGCTCGAATGGGCCACTCACTCACAAAGCGGCTCCGTTTGTTTCTGCAGCTGGAAAACGGGGGTGATGGAAGCAGCGCCTACCCATTCGGTGGCCTGGGACCTGGGTGAACGCTAACATGAGGCCCGTCAAGCAAGCAGTACCCTCTTGGCACACAGCCAGAGCTCAGAAACTTAGCTGGGACCACCGCTTTTTGGTTCTTCCCTCCCTCCCTCTCTATCCCTCCATAACCGTGGCTGGAGCTTCTCTTATTCCCGATCCCCCCACCTTTCTCATGTTTGTCTCCAGGCATCCCGACGGAAGATCCAGCACCTCTTTCCCCCTACCTGAATGTCCACACTCCACCCCCCCCCCCCCATGTCTAGCTCCGTCGTGCTGTCCCTGGGGGAGGCGGTCGTGTTTTCCCGCATCTCTCCACCAAACCCAGCGCCCAGCTGGGGTTCCGCTCCCGGAAACCCGAGGGGGCGGTCTCGAGGAAGTGCACCCTTTCACGTCACAGCGGCCGCCACCCCACGCCACTCGGGAGAAAACCCATAAAGGGGCCGCCCCGCCCCTTCCCGGAACCCTGCGGAGCGGGAGAGACACCCCTCCCGCGTGCGCCCCCAGGGCCCAGGGTGCTCAGAGCCAGCCGGAGGGTGATGGAGGAGCCCGATTCTCCGCAGACGGGCGGAGGGCGGCCGAGAGGCGAGTGGGCGTGGCCACTTGTTGGGGGCGGGGCGATGCTAATTATGGGCGGGCCCACTTAAGGAAACGCGGAGTTCCCCAAGCTAGTGCGGGAGGCGCAGTATTATTCAAAGAAGGCGTGGTTAATGCAAAGAAGGTTCTGAGGGGGCGGGGCGAAAGCCTAGGAGACTCCGGTTGGGGCGGGGTCCTAAAGGGGTGGGGTCTTGGGGCGGGGTCTAAAGGGCCCAGGGCCCTGTGATTGGGCTGGGCTCTCACCTGGCCCGGTGGCAGGGGCCGGAACCATACGTAGAAGCTCAGACTTGAGTCTGGCCCCAGCCTCTCCGGGGAGCTTCGTAGGTCCCGACCTAGGTGAGTTGAAGGGCCCCGGGGATGATTCGGGTGAGGAGTCCTCTCTTTTCCAGGTGGGGTCACCTGCACGCAGGGCGGATCTGGGTGTCTGTCCACCCGCGTCCGCGGACGTATTATAGAATGGGTCGCCGAATGCCTGATTGGATCGCTGTGCATCATGCGTGTCCGTGTACCTGGGTGTGCTCCTCTGAGCGTGTTTCCTTTGCAGCACGGAGGACCTCACTGCTTTCACTTTTGCCTGACATCATCTTTTTAAACCACAAACCAGATTGTTGCCCCTCCCTCTCTTAAAGCCCTTCCTATACCATCCCCCTGAGCTGGAAATTTGGGGTCCACCAATTCCTGCAATGTCTCGCCCCAGCCGACCTCACCTAGCTCCTTGCTCATTGCATTCCCGCCACGCTGGTCTCCTAAATAACATCAAATGTAAAAAGCCAGCTCCGTCTTCCCTCTGCATTTGCTGAACCCGTGCACCTGAACGGCTGTTTCTCCAAACCTTTGCATCGCTATCTCCTTCTATTTCCTAAGGTCTCAGCTCCAGTGTCACCTTCTGGGTGAGACCTTCCTGATTACACTATTTAAAGCAGCCTGCCCCCTCCAGCCATCTTACCACCTTTACCTGTTTTAACATCTTCATTGATTACGCGTAGAATTTATTCTTATTTTGTGGTGTGTCTTGTTCAGCAGACAGTCAAGGGCGAAGGCAGGTCTCTATCAACACTGTATTTCCAGGTCTAGAACAGCACAAAGTAAGTGTTCAGCCAATTGATGATTATTCAATGTCAAGTTTGTCCCTCTGTCTCCATGTGTCTGTGTGCTGGTGGCTGCTCCCTGTGATGTGTACACATGTATATGGTTTACAGGCTATGAATACTCCCTCCCTCCTTTCCCCATGTTTGCCCCTACCTCACCTCCTCTCCTGATTCTGCCCCCTTCATCTCTCCCCTGCCCAAATATCTGGAAATTATTCCCAAAGACACAGGGCAAGAGAATGACTTAGCCTATGGCTGACCTGTGCCCACCTTGACCTTTCCCCCAACTAACCGAAATGTGGTCAGTGACCCACCTTGATGCCCACTAAGGGGGACATGAGGCAGAGGAACCTGGAGTTGGGGGACTCTTAAGACAGAGGCTAGGCTTGGGCAGGGAGACAAACAGGAAGTGTACAGGCATCCAAGAGACACACCTGGTGTTGAAGTATGTGTCGCCTAGAGCCAGCTCCTGGCACTGCTCTCCACCCGTAAAGTCACCTAGGGCTGGTCTGTGAACTTCCTGCTCTTTGCAGGCCCTCGGCTAGGTTGACTCATGATGATGTAAGAACCCTGGTGCTGTTTTTCTGCAGATCCTGACGAGGCCACGGAGACCCTGTGGGTTGGAGAGAGTGACCCCTTGCTTCACTCCTCCCCAGGGTAGGATTTCACCACCAGATACCAGAGACAGGTCTGCGTGATAATCAAGGGAGTCCCAAAGTGTTTGAGCCCTAAATTTGACAATAATAATAATAATAATAGTAACGAAATGTATCGGCTCCAAAATTGCATTTGCTGACATTTCAACATCCTTAAATGTGGTGTTATGTTGGAAAGCCATACATAGGTTAGATTTTCTTACATCCTACAAATCCTTTTGTGTGCACAAGGATTGCTTAGGAGCTATGAACATCAGTAAATTAAATTACCTTCAGCCTGGAATGTTCTTTCTCTCTGAGAGCTACAGGGCTTGTCCCCTCAAAATCATTCCAGTTGTACTGACCGGGACCTTCTCAGGCCGCCCAAGGGAAAATCTGAACTCCACCACTAGGACCCTGGCTGTCTCTGACCCAAACTGCACATATATATATATATATATATATATATATATATATGATTTCAGAGAGCAAGCATGAGGGAGAGAGGGATAGAAACATCAATGATGAGAAAGAATCATTGAACGGCTGCCTCCTGCATGCTTCCTGCTGGAGGGAGAACCTGAACCCAGGCATGTGCCTTGACCTAAAATTGAACCCTGAGCTGTTTCCTAGGTTGACACTCAACCACTGAGCCATGCCTGCTGGGCTATTTATTTTCTTAAACGCTCTCTCCCAAACTAGACTGGCAATGATCTCCTGTTTTTTTTTTTTGTTTGTTTTGTTTTGTTTTTGTTTTTTTACTGATGGGTCTCTAGCACCTGGAACAGCGCTTGTCACACAGCAGGTGCCACATAAATATTGGTTTGAGTAAATTAGCTCATTAAATCTCTATAACATGGATCATTATGTCATCTGCATAAAATGCCACTCTATTTTAAAGCAGTGCATAGATCTTCTCCCTTTGTAAAGTCCCAGTGAATGCATGGCTGTTTCCATGAAATCACAGCCAATTCTAAATTAAAGTGACTCATAGCCTGATTTTATATGTACCAACAATTGACCCTGGAACAACATCTGCTAAAACTGCATGGGCCCACTTATATGCAGATCATTTTTTATTTATGCAGATTATTTTCAATAAATTCTCTAAATGTATTTTCTCTTCCTTATGATTTTCTTAATGACATTTTTTTTTTCTGTAGCCTGTTTTATTGTGAGAAGATAGTATATAATGCATATAACATACAAAATATGTGTAATTGACTGTTATCAGTGAGACTTTTGGTCAATCTTAGGATATTAGTAGTTATGTTTTGGGGGGAGGTGTCAAAAGTTATGTACAGATTTCCTACTGTGCAGGGGTCAGTACTCCTAACCCTTGCATTGCTAAAGGGTCAACTGTAATCTGACATATACCTATAACTACATCTATATCTAGATCTATATTGCTTACACACACACACACACACATAATCTGACTATGATTAACTTGTTTAATTTATATATGTATGATACACACACACACACACACACACACACATATACACACACACATATATACTCAGAGAGAGAGAAAAATGCATTTTAAGGTTTGATAGGATATGGGCTGCTGTCTCCAAAACTAAGAGGAACACAAAAACAAATTTTAAAAAACACACAAAAAAACCAACTGTGCTCATTTCAGCAGCATATATACTAAAATTAAAATAATACAGAGAAGATTAGCATGGCCCCTATGCAAGGATGACACACAAATTCATGAAGCATTCCATATAAAAAATAAAAAATACAACAAAAACTAAGAGGAACATAGAAAGGCTGACTCAGCCACACAGGAAGCAGGAATAATTATTCCCATTTTACAGATGTGGAAGACTGAGGCCTGTTGAAAGTGCAGAGCTGAGCCCCAACATTCATTGCCCCCAAAAGCTTCATGCAGGTGCCACAGAATGGAGAGGACTTTGCCAGCCAACCCTGGTACCACGGCCTCCTGTCCCGCCAGGTACTGCCTCCTGCAGGCCCTCAGCACCATGTGATGCAGAGCTTCTCCTGCCCATGGCCTGTCGGAGACTCCAAGGCCCTAGATGTGGGAGTTAGGATCAAGGGCTGTTGGAAGAGGTGGCTGGGGGACTGGGGATTGTCTTGAAGCTTGGTTGGTGTGGCACATCACTCCTTATATTTAAATTATCACTTCCTTTGGGATGGTGTTGAAGATGGTAATGGAGGTTGAAAAAGGTCCTGGCTCCCTCAAAGCACCCCTTGGCTCTGCTTGGCTCCCTCTTTCTCTGGGTCCTGGGCACCTGTGGCCACCAGAGCCCCATCTTCCTCTCAATTCAAGGCTCCCTGCTCTCATCTTCAATTCAGGTGTCACTCTCAGGAGTCATAGGACCCTGGGCATTCAATCAAATCATGAGAGGCAGTATAGTTTAGTGGTGAAAACCCCACACTCCAGAGTCAGACATCCTAGGATTAAATCCCAGCCCTACAGCTTACATTCTGTGTGACCTAGTCTAAGGTATTTAATTGTTCTGGGCCTCAGTTTGCCCATCCGTAAAATGGGATAACAGTACCTACCGTTTAACTTTGGTAAAGGATTGAGTTCATATATTTTACACCTAAAGCAGCAACTGGCATCAGTAGGGCTACACATATGTCCATTGCATATATTATTCAGTCCCTAGCCCCTATCACCAACTCTGCTTTGCCTCTCTGGTGTTAGAGCCCTCAGCCCCTGTTCGTTTTCACACTAGTCATAAGACAGCTAGAAATTTGTATACAGGATTTATGGGTCACACACCGGAAGAATCAAGTAATGGCTTATTTTGAAGTCACCTTTGTAGAACAAGCCAGTACAGTATATTTACTCAGATTAGAAGCAGTACCAGTCAACATCAGCTAGCAACTATAACAAACCCTTCCAAGATGCCACTGGCTAAACGCGATACTCAGTTAGGGCTTGTTCATGTCACAGTCCAAGGAGGTTTAGGAGTGAGGATGTGGAGCTCCAGAAATCAGTCAGGACCTTTCTATCTTGTGGCTCAGCCTTATCCCAGGGCTTTGGTGACATCAGCTGACAAATATGGGACAGAACCTGTAGGATTTAAAAGTATTTTCTAAAATATTTTTTATTGGCTTTAGAGAGAGGCGGAGAGAGAGAGAAACATCGATGTTTCACATCCATGGGTTGCCTTCTGCACGCCAGCACACTGGACAGAGATCTAACCTGAAAACTGGGTGTGTGCCCTGGCAGAGAATCAAAGCAGCGATTTTCTGTTGCACTAGATGACACTCAACCAACTGAGCAGAACCGGTAGGACTTTGCAGGAGGGTTTTTATGGGCCAAATGTGGATAGTCCCCGCTGTACTTCTGCTCTCATCCTATTGGTCAGATCTTGTCACATGATAACTCTAAGTGCAAGGGAGCCTGGGAACTGTAGTCCATAGGTGTACCCATGAGAAAAGGGTAAATGGTTTGGTACAAAACTACCCAGTCTCTGGGATGGCTTTTTTGGGGGTAGGGGTGTTGAAGTACCATGAACTATTGATCTGGGCTTGTACCTAAACCTCCTGCCCCCTGTTCTCCATCCCCAGAAGGCAGAGGCTCTTCTTCAGCAAGATGGTGACTTCTTGGTCCGTGCGTCTAGGACCTGTGGGGGCCACCCTGTGATCTCCTGCCGCTGGCGGGGCTCTGCCCTGCACTTTGAGGTGCTTCGTGTGGCCTTGCGTCCCCGGCCAGGCCGGCCCACAGTCCTCTATCAGCTGGAGGATGAGCGCTTCCCAAGCCTGCCTGCCCTGATTCGCAGCTATGTGCATGGCCAGCGTCCACTGACCCAGGCTACAGGGGCTGTGGCCTCCAGCCCGGTGATGCGGCAAGGGCCTATTCCACGCAGCTTTAGTGAGGACACCCTCCTAGAGAGCCTGTCTCGGATAGAGCTACTCAGGTACTCACAGGCTCCCGGCCTTCCTGGGGCCACCCAAGAGTCACCTTGGCACTATTGACACTGGGGGCAGATCATTCTTGCTTGGGGGGAGGGAAAGACTGTCCGGTGCTTTATAGTGTGGTGAGCAGCATCCCTGGTCTCTATCGGCTAGATGCCAGTAAAATCCTCCCCAACCCAGACTCTAGATGTGACAAACAAAAAGTGTCTCCTGACATTGCCAAGTCCCCTGGGGGTAGAGCACCCTGGTTGAGACCCAATGGTCCTGAGTAGGGGTTTGGGGCATTGGTGGGGGTGGCCCTGCTTAGGCTGGGACATCACATCTATCCCATCTCTGTCCCCCAGGGCTAGGAAGTGGAGTGACAGTCAGCCTGCAGGTTTGGAACACGTGGGGTGGTCAAGAGAAGGCCACTCTGACCCAGGTGAGAGTCTGCCAGACAGCCCATGGCTCAGGAATCTCTTTGCCCCTCATCCCTTGAGTGATCTTGGGCAGGTGACTTAAATCTTTTGGGAAATGGGGACGCTGAGACTCTCAAAGTGGTTAAAAAACACATGGGAACTTTGTAGGTGGCTTTACAATTATTTTAAGAAACCCTGTGTGTTCTGACCATGGCTGGCCCCCCTAATAACCCTGCCACGTGCCCTCGCTCCAGTCACACAATCTTTCTATCAGTTGCTAGAACATTTCAAATTTGTTCCTGCCTTAGGGCCTTTGCATGAATTATTCTTGCCCATTCCCCTAATCTTTTTCTGACTCCTCCTCACCCACCATGCGTTCTTCAAAAACAGTTTACCCCAATCGTCTTACCTAAAGGCGGTCTCCTCCTCCCTCATGCCCAGTCTGCCTTGTCTGCCCTGTCCACCCCCCATCCCATTCAACAGGAGCCCTCTCTGTATGCCAGGCACTGCATTAGGTGCTGAGATACATCGATGAATGAAAAAGACAAAGGTTTCTGCCCTAGTGAAGCTAACATCCTGTTAGAGGAAGACAGATCAAGAACAACAACATAAGTCAATTATATATGATTTGGGGTAAAAATTAAAAGTACCACAGAGTAGGGGAGTCTTTAAGTAGTTGTCAGGAAAGGCCCCATGGAGAAAGATTTTGAGAACGTAAAGAAAGGAAAGATGTAGACAACTGGGGGCTGAGAATGGCCTAGGGTGAAGGAACAGCAAGTGCAAAGGTTCTGGGGCCAGAACAAGAGTTTGAACTATTCATTCAACTGAAAGGAGGTAAGTGTAGCTGAAGCAGTGGGAGAGAGGGGAGAGTCAGAGAGAGATCTGGGGGCTTAGATTTTGCGAGCTTTTGGGGCTACTTTGAGGACTTTGGCTGGCATTCAGAGTGAGCTAGGAATTGTGGGAAGCTGTTGAGCCCCTGTAACAATGTCTATTGAAGTGCTTTGTAAGTACAGAATCTCCCAGAAGTCTGGATACACTTCTTTTAAGTTCTAATAACCTTGGAACTCAACATGCCACACACTTAACCACAGACATCATTTAATTACACTGCTTTGATGTTTATGTAGTTTTGTGAATTTTGGTTAATATGTTTTTAAAAAAATATATATTTTATTGATTTTTTACAGAGAGGAAGAGAGAGGGATAGAGAGTTAGAAACATCGATGAGAGAGAATCATCAATCAGCTGCCTCTTGCACACCCCCTACTGGGGATGTGCCCGCAACCAAGGTATATGCCCTTGACTGGAATCAAACCTGGGACCTTTCAGTCAGTGTTTCACCATCTTCAGCCAGAGGGGCAAAAACCAAAGGATTCGAATGTAAAATGTGGTATTCAGAATTCGCAAAACTATTTAAGTGACAAAGAAAGTTTATTTTCAAACCATTGGTAAGCATGTAGCAGTTATAGAATTTGTTAGAAGTTCCAAGCCACACCAAGACAGGTAGGGCTGCCCGGGTATTGACTGAATGAGTGGATGAACCAGGACCCACCCAACTATCTTCTCTGTGTACCTCTGCACCCCCTCTTGTATGACCCCCAGGAGCCTCCCCTGGGCCCACACTTGCCCTGACTTGCATGGGTAGTGACCCTGAGCTGCTGAAGCCCCCCGCTCCCCTGGGATCCATCGCTGACAGCCTCAGCGCCTCAGATGGGCAGCTTCATGTTAAGACGCCAACCAAGCCACCTCGAACGTCCTCACTGGTGCTGCCTGATGCCTCTGAACAGCCCCCAACTTACTGTGAGCTGGTGCTCCGCGTGCCCAGCGCCCAGGGAACACCCCCTGGCTTCCAATGCCCACAGCCAGAAGCCCCCTGGTGGGAGGCCCAGGAGAAGGAGGAGGAGAAGAAGGAGGAGGAGGAGAAAAGTTTTGCAAGACCACAGGCAGACATCTCTTTCTGCCACCCCGGCAAATCCTCTGGCCTTCTGGGCCCCCAGAATCGGCCCCTGGAGCCCAAAGTCCTGCATACTCTCCGAGGCTTGTTCCTGGAGCACCATCCCGGGAGCACTGCCCTCCACCTGCTCTTGGCAGACTGCCAGGTGAATCTCATACCAGATCCCTTCTCCCTAGTCAGGGTGGAGGCCCAACAGAACCCCACATCCACATACTCACCTCTCTTCCCCACGCCCCCCGCCCCCCAACTCCCCTACTCCCAGGCTGCCGGCCTGCTGGGAGTGACCCAGGCTCAGCGGGATGCCATGGGGGTTGACTCTGGCCTGGAGCTGCTCACACTTCCCCATGGCCATCGTTTGAGGTCAGAGCTGCTGGAAAGGTGAGCCAGCCACCTGGAATTCCCACCATCTCCAAATCTCCCTACTCAGCGAGGGGGTTGGGGAGTGGGCAATGCCACCTCCCGTCCTTCCTCACCCCCAAATGCAAACCTCCCCACTGTCTCCAGACCCTTGCCCTCTGCCTCCGCAGGCACGAGGTGCTGGTGCTGGCCGGCGCGCTGGCGGTGCTGGGCTGCACGGGGCCGCTGGAGGAGCGCACGGCCGCCCTGAGGGGCCTGGTGGAGCTGGCCCTGGCGCTGCGGCCCGGGGCGGCGGGGGACCTGCCCGGACTGGCCGCTGTCATGGGCGTCCTGCTCATGCCCCAGGTGCACGGGGTGCCTGGATGGGGTGGAAGCCCCGGTGCAGGTGATGGGGAAGCGGAGGCATGCTCAAGGTCTTTACCCCAGGTGTCCCGGCTGGAACAAACGTGGTGCCAGCTCCGAAGGAGCCACACCGAGGCCGCAGTGGCCTTTGAGCAGGAGCTGAAGCCGCTGATGCGGGCGCTGGATGAGGGCGCGGGTGAGTGGCATCCTTTGGAGCCGCGCCCAATGCAAACTCAGAATCCTAACCCGGTCCTAGGCCAAGTAGCGGCTCTGGTAGTTAGCCCCGCCCCTTCGTCCAGGCCCCGACTCCCCGCCCCAGGCCCCCGCCCCCTCGCCCATAGGCCCTACCTTCCACACTAACTGGGCTTTGGATCCATTCCCTAAGCCCCGCCCTCACTGCGCCCTAGGCCCGCCCCTTTATCCTAAACCCTGCCTTCTGCACCCTATGTATCCTATGGCCCCAGCCCTTAGGCCCCGCGCCTGCTTTAAACCATGCCCTTGACTCCACCTAGCTCTGCTAGGCTCAAGCCTGCTGACCGAAGCCCTGCCTGGTTACTTTATTCCTAGGGTGCCTGGCCCAATGCCCCACTCTCTTCACCCAGGGCCCTGCCCCCTGTCCAAGGCCTACCTCAGGCCCTTCTTCCCTCCCCTCCCCCCAGGACCCTGCGACCCCGGCGAGGTGGCGCTGCCTCACGTGGCTCCCGCGGTGCGCCTTCTGGAAGGCGAGGAACTCCCCGGGCCGCCGGAAGAGAGTTGTGAGCAGCTGCTGCGCACCCTGCAGGGGGCGCGTCAGACGGCCCGGGACGCACCCAAGTTCCGCAAGGCCGCGGCCCGGCGCCTGCAAGGTGGGTGCCCCCTCTGCGCTGGGCTGCCAGAGGTCCCTGCCCTTAGGAGCAACCTACGGGGATACTCTAACCTGGTGCCCCCAAGCCATGCCAGGGACTAGAATCTCCCACCACGCCTCCCAAAGTCTCACTCAAATTGGGACAGCTCCTCTCAGGGGCCCCCAAGCCAGCTCTGCAACCAGCAGTGATGACCGGAAGTGCCCTGCACTCAAAGGGGGTGGCCCTGCCCCCCGCCACACCTACGGCTACACTGCCACCCATCTCAATTGCCAAGTGTGTCTCACAGGGTGGCCCAGGACCCCAAATCCTGACCCTGGGGCGGCTCCATATCCAGGCACAGCCGCTAAGGTGGGGCCCCTAGCAGCTCAAACTAGGAACAGAGTGTCATCCCCGTGTACCCTGGCAGAGCTCACCTCCACCAATCAATCCCCTCAGCCACGCCCTCTTCCTCCCGCCCCCTCCTACCCGCAGAGTTCCTTGCCTCCCCGTTCCCCACCAACCCCACTAACTGTCCAGAGTACTTGGGGGCAGAGTTCCTCCAGGGCCCTGCTGGGTCAAAGTCCCCAGGAGAAAAGGCAGATATGAGGAAGGGCAGTGTAGGTCCCTGGGCCCCACCCCTAGTGCACCTGGCCCTTCCCCCCCAGGATTCCGGCCGAACCCTGACCTGCAGGAGGCCCTGACCACTAACTTCCTGCGGAGGCTGCTCTGGGGGAGCCGGGGTGAGGGCGCTCCGAGGGACAGTCGTCTGGAGAAGTTCCGGCAGGTGCTCAGTGTCCTGTCCCTGCGCCTGGAGCCTGACTGCTGAGAGCCAGACCCCCTTCTTCACACGGGGATGCCCAGACTTCTGGTGACCCCAGCAGGACACCTGGGAAATCACCCCAGTTTGCTCACAGAGGCAAACAGGGTGAGGACCCACACCCTGGCTTGCAGAAGGGGGGTCAGGTTTGCAAGAGCTCACCCTGCCCCCTAAAAATATACAGGGATCCTGGGGTGAGGGGCAGCCTCCCCCCCATCCCTACCCTCACCCCTAAGCCACAGGAGGAGACCCAGGCCCGTGGAGGCCCTGGCTGCTCTCTCCCTGCCCCACCCCCACCCCCATCCCACAAATGGTGAATGTGTAGCTTCTCATGATAAGAGAACTGGAAGCTCTGCGAGGCCAGAGTTCAAATGCCGCTCAGAAAGCTGTGACTGCCAGCAGGCTGCCTGGCTTCTTTGTGCCTGCCTTCCACGTAGAGTGAGCCCATACTTCCCAGGCGTTGTCATGGGAATGAAAGCTCGATATTTACGTGGGACAATGGGTGGAGGATGCATGGCACACAGCAGGTGCTCAACAGACGCTACCTGTTCTCAGGAAGTCGCTGTGAACATGGGAGGGAGGTTGGCCACCCTTCTCCCTACACTGGTTGCAGACAAGGGCCCAGGTCTCAGAAACAGTGTGTCCAAAGTGCGCCCAAATCCCCCTTTCCTTCCTCGTACCCCGTGTGGCCTGTGAGGAGGGTGGCGTTTGAATATCCAACCCCAGTATCTAAACCTCCTAATAAAGCATGGAATCCAAGGACTTTGCATATTTTTATATATATATATATATATAAAACAAAACGGCCCTAGCCGAGTGGCAGGAAAAAAGATTTAAAACATGAGTATGTACATCAACGGTAGAAGGCACAGCGGGTCCATCTGAGGTGAGGCGTAGGGTGGAGGTAGGGGGCAGCAGGTTACACAGGTCTCAGCTGAAGCCACGGGGGCAGAAATAAAGTGCTTAGGTCCTGGGGCCCCCTGGGGCCCAGAAGCAGCAGCCGGCAGCCCCCCCATCTCCCATCCCTGGCAGGGTTCAGTTGAGCGTGACCCGGAGGTAGGAGGTGGGCACGTAGCCTTCCCCCCCCTGTTTCCGCCTGACCCGAGTCCAGCCATCGCCTTTGTCCTCTTCCATGAGACTCAGGTCTTCACCCTCAGCCATGGATATGGTGCCCTCGCTGGACCCTGTCGCGGGAGTGGTGGTGGGCTCAGGCCTGCTTTAGGGGCATTTTAAAGAAGCCAGCCAGATGCCCCCCCACCCCTGCCAGGCAACTGATGCTCACCTTCAAAGTGGTAGATGGCCACACAGTGACCTATAGGGGATGCAGACTCCTCGAAATCCTCGTCGAACTCTGTGTAGATGGGGGTGTCCTGGCCTTCCTCCAAAGGGGGCTCCTCACAGCTGACAGGGGAGAGTGAAGCTGGTGAAGACAGCTCCCCCACCCCCCAATGTCCCGGGGGAGGCAGACCCCCCATGGCCACCCCACTCACCTCTCCCTGTTCTCCTGTGACCCACTGTTACTGCTGCTGCTGCTGTCGGGTGGGGCACTGGCGGGGGGGTCCGGAGGCCGGGTATGCCGGCTCAGGCTGTCTCCCCGGTTGCTCAGGACCCGGCTCTCAGCTTCCGCCAGCCAAGCCTGAGAGGAGGGGGCCATGTGGTCAGTTCCAGGGCAGGGCTCCGGGGTCAGCCCAGTCTGGGCTCAGATGTTTCCTGAGGTCACCCATGCACACCCAAAGCTGTGATGAGAAACAGCTGCAGCCTCCCCACAATTCCTCCCTGTCCCCCAGGCGGTGACTAAGCCCGGCTGGCCGGCCCCCGCCCCTCCCCAGGGTCTTCCCTGACCTCATACTTCTGCACTTCCAATTTCAGCCGCTCAATGTTGTTCAGGGTTTCTGCAATCTGGGGCTCCAGGCTAATGGGGTCCCCCATCTGGGGTGTCTTCTCATACACATCCTTCATTTTCTTCAGGGCTTCCCTAGGACCAGACCGACAGACAAGATGAGAAAGAACAGACCCATGGGATTTAACAAAGCAAAAACTATGGGTTTTGCCCTGGCCAGTGTGGCTCAGTTGGATGAATGTCATCCCATGCACCAAGAGGCCCCTGGTTCAATTCCCAGTCAGGGTACATGCCCAGGTTTGGGGGCTCAATCTGGGGATCATGCAGGAGGCAGCTGATGTCTCTCTCTCTCTCTCTCTCTCTCTCCCTCCCTCCCTCCCTCCCTCCCTCCCTCCCTCCCTCCCTTTCTCTTTGAATCAATAATTAAAAAAAAATTTAAAGCTCACATACTAGTGCTTCACTGACTGGGCTTGAATTCCAGTCTGAGCATTTCCTGCTTGTCAGTTTGGGTTGTTACTGAATCTGCCTCAATATGCTAACCTTGAAAATGAGGATAACGATACATACGTGGGAATGGTTGTGAAGGTTAGAACAGTGCCTTAATTTATTCAGATACACACAGTACTGCATGGCAGGCACTGTCCTAAGCAAGACAGCCAGGACCCTGCCTCTGCTCACACAGTCTCTCAGGAGAACCTGGGAACTCCAGGGAGTCCATGTTTGGAACAGTGTGCGGCATACAGTAATTGCTCTGTAAATGCTAGGTGTCACTATTATCACTAGTCCTTGGTCTCTAGTTCCTCATGACTATATGTACGAGCAGTAATCGTTATATGAACATAGACTTCTGGAAAATGTCAAACCCAAGTTAAATTGCTTTCCAGTCTAAATAGTACCCATGTTAGAGATGCAGAAACTGAGGCACAGAGCAACGAAACAGCTGGAATTCAAGGCCAGTCTGCCCTGACTCTAGAGCACGCACCTTTAGCTCTACATCATAAACACTCAGGAAATTCCATGCTCCTAATGGAACTTTACACCGATAAAAGCTGTTTTGTACAAGATGGCAAAATATAATTTGTCTGTCTGTCTCCAAGCGGCAAACGTCATTTCTATTATGTAAGAGGATTGGAAAGAGAACCTTGCTGTCTGGAAAGAATGAGTAAAAATTTCTTTAATCTGGCAGACTTTTTATTGTTAATATTTCAAGTGTTTGAGTTAGTAAATAGATAACCATATGTTGTTATTGTTTTAGACAATCAATGTGGTGAATGAGACTGAAAGATTTTTTTTCCCCCCCGTTTTGGAGACTGTAGCTGATACTCTTTTTCCTCTTTTTAATAATCTTTATTATTGAAAGTGTTACCTCTGTCCCCTTTTTCTCATGACTTCCTCCAGCTTGCTCCTACCCCCTACCCCAGGCCTTCACCACCCTGTTGTCTGTGTCCATGGGCTATATATATATATGCATACATGTTATGTGGTTGAGCTCTTCCCACCAACCCACCTTCCCTTGCCTTCCCTCTGCGATCCGCCAGTCTAGTCCATGCTTCTATGTCTCTGGATCTATTGCATTACCGGGGCAACATCCAACTGTCTCATGATTTTTTAAGTCTTAAAAAAAAGAAAAATTTTTCCAGTTCCCTATGCTTGGCAGTAGCAGCGGTCGGTGTGAAAGCCTGGTGCCAGCGTGAGGCAGGGCAAAGCGCAGAACCAAGATGGCAGCAGTATGTGCCAGTAAACACCAGTATGTGCTACCTCCCACAACCACATCCACAATTGCCTGAAATCAGGCAGAATGAAAGTCCCACACTTAGAGAAGTAAAGAAGAAAGTGCACTGAGACTGGTAGGAGGGGCAGAGGCACGGAACGGGCTGGTCCAACACCCCTGTGTGGTGTTTCTTTCATTGGGAGGGAGATCTCCAAGGCCTCCTGTGAGAAACAGGGGATCCCAGCCCCACACCAGACCCCCAGTCCAGGGTTCCAGAGCTGGGATGAGAAGTCCCCATAACTTCCAGCTATAAAAACCAGCAGGGATTGTGGCTGAGTGACACGGAGGCTGCTGGAGTCCCAGGTGTTCCTCTTAAAGGGCCTGCAAGTGAGCTTATACAGTCACAATTCCTCTGAGCTCCAGTGCAAGGCTACAGCTTTGGGGAAAGCTGAGGAGGAATTGGACTGTCTGGCATTGGGCAGGAACTCAGGGGTGGTTTTCTCATTGTTCCTGTGCTGGGACCTGTTCCATCATAGAGCTGACTGGTAGCCATATCTGAATTTCTATCAGCGAGGCCCACACAGTTTCACTGGTCACTCTGCCCTGGTAATTTCCTGAGACCTTGCCCCATCCAATCTGCAGACCCACCAAAGCCATTTGCAGCTGCTTTTCCATTTGAATGGCCTGTCCTGGTTCAGGCTTCAGACTTTGCTAAAAGTCTCTTAAACAAGCAGCAGCTGGAGGCAGTGTACCCCAAACTTATTGATAAAAGGCCCAACCCTCAGCACTAGCACCAGCCTGCCTTGCCTCACTGCTGGGCCTTGCCTGGGCACTTCCTAGCCCAATACAAATAGTGGTCATCTCCAGATCTCTCTGTAACTCCTGCTAGGTGGCACCAAGCGGTGGTTGACTTTGCACCTCCCAGGAGGCCCTAGAGTCAGTGGCTCAGTAGACAGATTCAGACCATAGCAGATTACAACTCTACACATCCACAAGTGACACACTCAAGGGGTAGACTCAGTGAGTACCAAGCCCCACTGAAGCAAGTCTTACTCCATACAGGTGTCTCCCACATAGCATTCTTCCACTGCAGATGCAGCTGATCCTAGAGGCCAATTCCTCCCAGGGACGCAAATCAAGACTCAACTACAACAAGTCTGTGCATGCAGCCCACATAGGGTTGCACCTAGAGTGCCTGGCTTAGGTGACTGGGGAGGCTGAACCACTGGGCCCTGTAGGACACCTATTACACAAGGCCGCTCTGCCAACTCCAGGAAACATAGCAGCTCTACCTAACACATAGAAGCAAACACAGGGAAGCAGTCAAAATGCAGAGACAAAGAAACATGTTACAAATGAAAGAAATGGAAGCAAGTAAGCTACTGGATACAGAGTTCAAAACAACTGTTATAAGATTACTCAAGGATCTTAATGGAGCTTCAAGGGACATAGTGAGACTTTCAAGGATCTTAGGGAGAATGTCAAATATATATATATATATATATATATATATATATATATATATATATATACACACACACACACACACACACATATATATATACAAAACTACTCAGAAATTAAGCATTCACTAACTGAAATAAAGAATAATTTACGGGGAGCCCTAGCTAGTTTGGCTCAGTGGATAGAGCGTCACCCTGTTCACTTAAGGGTCCCAGGTTCAATTCCAATCAAGAGCATATGCTTGGGTTGCAGGCTTGATCTCAAGTAGGGGACGTGCAGGAGGCAGCTGATTAATGAGTCTCTCTCATCAATGATGTTTCTATCTCTCTCTCCCTCTCCATTTCTCTCTAAAAATCAATAATAAAATATATTTTAAAAAAGAATAATATATAAGGAATGCTTCAACAGTAGAGTAGAGGATTCTGAGAATTGAATCAAGGATTTGGAATATGAAGAAGCAAAAACCACCCAATCAGAAGAGCAAAAAGAAAAAAGAATCCAAAATTATGAAGATAGTGTAAAAAGCTTCTGAGACAACTTCAAGCACATCAACATTTGCATTATGGGGGCGCCAGAAGGAGAAGAGAGAAAGCAAGATGTTAAAAATCTATTTGAAGAAATGATAGAAAACTTCCCCTATCTGGTGAAAGAAATAGACTTAAAAGTCTAGGAAGCACAGAGAGTCCCAAACAAGAGGAACCAAAAGAGGCTCACAGCAAGACACATCATAATTAAAATGCCAAGGGTTAAAGACAAAGAAAGAATCTTAAAAGCAGCAAGAGAAAAGCAGTTAATTACCTACAAGGGAGCATCTATATAACTATCAGCTGATTTCTCCACAGAAACTTTGTGGGCTAGATGGGAGTGGCAAGAAATATTCAAAGTGATGAATAGCAAGGACCTACAACCAAGATTATTCTACCCAGCAAAGCTATCATTTAGAATTGAAGGTTAAATAAAGAGCTTCACAGACAAGAAAAACTAAAGGAGTTCATCACCACCAAACCAATATTACATGAAATGTTGAAGAGTATTCTTTAAGAGGAGGAGAAAGAAGAAGAAAGAGGAGGAGGAGGATGGAGGAGGAGAAGAAAATATGAACAATAAAATGAAAATCAATATATACCTATCAGCAATTTAATCTAAAAATCAAACAAGAAATCTAATGCACAAAATAAACTGTTGAATAAAATAGAATCAGTGGCATGGAAATATGGGACTGACGAATCTCAGAGGGAAGAGTGGTGGGAAGGAGTAGGAAGAGATTATCCAATGATCTTATATGCATATATGAATTACCTATGAACACAGACAATAGGGTGAAGGCCTGGGGCCGGATGGGAACTGGGGTGGAGGGGGGCAATGGGGAGGAAAAAGAGGGACATTTGTAATATTCTCAACAATAAAGATTAAAAAAAATTAAAAAAAATATTTTATTAAAAATATACAGAATAAAAATAAAAATTCCCATTTGAGCCATTTTTGGCTCATTTATGCCAAATGTACAGTTCCATAGCATAAAGTGCATTCACATTGTTGTGCAACCATGGCCATTGTATTTGCTTGGCTAGGATTTTGCTTCGAAGATCCTAAGTGAAGGAAAATGAGCCCATACCTCTATTTTCTTGAATTCTTGCTATGTGGTTTTAAAATAGAGATTCCACCAGACTCCAAAATGTGCTGGTGGCATTCACTCACTGTCTGTGTGCTGGAATGAGTTGTGTGAAATGGGAAGGAATGGTTTCTTATGAGTGGGGTGGGACTCACCTGTATAACCACCAGAGATTGAGGCTTAATGGAAGATGTTTGAGTACCATTTCCATGTACAGATGATCGTGCAAAAACTATACCCATTCAGCAGAAACCATACTTCGAACTTTGACCTTTGCGAGGGCCAGTGATATGCAGTGTGATACTCTGTCGTGATGCTGGCAGCAGCAGAGAACCAGAGCTCCCAGTCAGCCAGTCATAGAGGCAAACAACCGACACTATGCACTGCAGTACTAAATGCATTTTGACTTTTGGTATTTTCAATTCATGATGCGTTCACTGGATGCAACCCCATGGTAAGTCTCTACTATTTTGTTGTTAATCCTCACCCGAGGACATTTTTCCATCGATTTTTAGGGAGAGTGGAAGAGAGAGGCAAAGACAGAGAAGCATGCATGGGAGAGAAACACATGGACTGGCTGCCTCCTGCAGGAGTCCGGACCAGGGCCGGGCTGGGGAGGAACCAGAGACGGAGGTATGTGCCCTTGATCCGAATCTGACCTGGGTAGTCTGCTCTTGTCTGTCTGTCTGTCTGTCTCTCTCTCTCTCTCTCTCTCTCTCTCTCTTTCTCTTTTTATCCTGTTTCCCAATTTCATTTTGACACTACTTTTTTTTTCTCCTTTCTATCTCATTATTTATCCATTATTTTTTTTTTTTTTACCTTTCTTATTTCTCCCCTACCTCCTAATTTGCCTTTTTCTAGTGATCACCTTTATTAGAGGTTATTAATGTCGCAAATACATTCCTGTTCAGTGCTTTTTGTGTTGTACCTGATAGTGTTGTATTTTGTGCCTTTAAATCAATGCAGGAGAAAGAAAACCACATAACCAGACATCCTGAAAAGAGAGACCATGGGCAGACGAAGAAATAGCCCGCACATGAAAGAAAAGCAAGCATCACCTTTTCTGGTTAGAGGCAAGCAACCTACCAGAGCAGGAATTCAGAGTAATGATCATAAGATGGCTAAAAAGGATGGAAGAGAAATTTGACAATAACCAAGAAGAAATGAAGAACCATGAGGAATTGAAGAAGAACCAAGAAGAAATGAAAAATGGCATCGCTACCATGAAGAACCGAATCCGACCTGGGATCCTTTGGTCCAAAGGCCGCGACTCTATCCACTGAGCCAAACCGGCTAGGGCTGTCTTCTTCTTCTTCTTCTTCTTCTTTTTTTTTTTTTTTTTTAAATATATATATTATTGATTTTTTTACAGAGAGGAAGGAAGAGGGATTAAAGAGTTAGAAACATCCATGAGAGAGAAACATCGATCAGCTGCCTCCTGCACACCCCCTACTAAGGATGTGTAGGGCTGTCTTCACTGCTTTACTTTCCTCTCTGCCAGCTTCCCTCTCACCTTACCTCTGGTCAATCTCTTTCTGTAGCTCACGATTACGCTCCTCCAGCTGCTGCTGAAGCCGCTTTCTCTGCTGCTCTGGGGGCAAGTGGCTAAAATCCTCAGTCGCCACTGTCTGCAGGAGAAAGAGCTGACTTTGGGATTGTGGAGTGTGAACTTCCAGGCCCTAGGACACTCATAAGACACACCAAGTCCACCTTCCGCCCCACCCGAGGTTCCTGGGGGGCAAGGCCATGCACTGAGCAAAGCAGGTCCGAGTCACGCAATGGGAGGAGTGGGTCCAGCCTGCAGCAGGAAGCGAGCCCAGGGTCCCGCCTCCCGGCTGCTGGGCGGGCTGGGGGGGGGCCCCCTCCTTCTCCCCTGGAGGCCTCACTTACCCCACGGCTGCCTCGAAAGCTGCGGAAGGATGCTAGCCGCGGTTTGACTGACTTACTGATCTCACTCAGTATGGCCAAGGGGTCGAGGCCGGAGCGGGGGGATGGGGATCCATTAGGCAATGCCGAAGGCAGGGGGCCCCCCAGGGGGGAGAGGGGTGGGGGATGCGGCTACCAGTGGGGACCGCGGAGGAGGTGTGGGGTGGGGTGGGGGAGGGAGGTGTAAAATATAGAGAACGAATACAATATGGACCGATGGAGGGATGCAATTAAGGAAAAAACGAAATGGAGAAAAAGAAAAGAAAAAAAACAGTAAGAAAACCACAACTCAAGATGTATAATCACACACAGAAAATGCATGCAAAGAACAACACAAAAATCTGGGAGGTGGCAGGGGGTGGGCGCATTAGACTGTGAGCCAGAAGGCCAGACCCTCCTTCCCCCAGGGTCTTCCACCGCCCCTGCATCCCATGCCCAGTACCTAGGATGGGGTCTGAGGGCGCAGGGAAGCCCACGTGTCTGCCCCCCACCCCCAGCTTTCTGGGCTCACAGTCCACCACACGGAAGGAGGTGCATGCAGAAATCAAGGTCTCATACAGGTATGGGGCCACAGGAGTCAAGGGCAAGCTGAGAGAAGGGTCAAAGGCATGAAATATGAGAGAGTTACGGGGGGTGGGGTGTCCGCTGGGTAGAGGGACACAATTTGTACATTGAAGTGGGGTACCAAGGGCCAAAGATACAAACTAGGGAGAGGGCAGTTGTAGCAGCTATAAACCAGGAGGGCCCAAGTATGTGCTTGACAGTGAAAACCAAAAATCCCAAGACAAAAACAGCCTGAAGGTCGGAACCCAGCCTCATGGGTGGGATGAGAAGTGTCCGGGGGAGTCCCTACGATCAGCTTCCGGGGCCTCACTCAGCCCTAAATCCCACAGGCAGGTCTCCTCCTAGCATCCCGAGAAGCAGCAGACACACACCACAGCCACCCACCCTCCCTTCCTGGCCCCCCGTCAGCCTCAGGGGACTTGCAGGCCAATCACGGCCTTCCCTCTAGCCTGGGCTGGCAGCCAAGAGGAAAATTCCTGCCCAGGACTCGGCGTTCCAACGGCTGGGGCTGACTCAGGGCCCCCCCCCCGCACACACACCGCTGTCCCCACTCACTCACACCCCCTCCCCAAGACCCCTGGCCCCCACCTTGTTCTTCCTGCCAAAGGGCCAGCGTTTGGCGCGGCTGCGGCCCGGGCCTCGCAGCTCAGGCCGGCCCTCGGAGGGGGTGCCCAGGCTGCTGTCCGAGTGCGCTCTGTTCATGGGCTGGCTGAAGTCTTCGAATTCCACGTCGCCCGGGCGGGCAAAGCCAGACTTGTTCAGCTCAATTAGGACCTGGGCGTCCTGCGGGGAGGACCCGGGCAGGGGGAAGGGCAGTCGGAAGTCAGACGAGGTGCCTAACCTTCAGGGCCCGCCTGCCCACCCCCCATAACCCGCCGGCACACCACCAGGCACGCACGTTCTTGCTGTCCACGGCAGCCGCAGCCACCTTCATGCCCTCCAGACACTTGGTGATGATCGGAAGCACCTGCAGCTCAGCCTCCGACAGCAGCCCGTACCCCGCCCCCAAGTGGGTGGCCCGGCGCTCATCCATGTCCTGTAGCTTCTACAGGGACAAGGCAGGGGTGCTTGTGGAGGGGCCGGAGCAGATACTTCCAACCCAAGGTGGTCAAGGGAGGGACAAGGGGCCAGGCTGGTTTCAGACGGGATTTTAAGGACCAAACCCCCGACCCCTACCCCCTCACCCCAGTCCAGGGGGTCAAGAAAGGCTCCTCAAAGGAGGTGACCATGGAGCCAGGACTTTGGAGGGAAAGCAGACCCAGCGCAGATATTGTCAATCCCAGGATTAGGACAAAAGAGTGGAACAGAAAGGCTGAAAAGGGAGAGGGAAAAGTCAAGATGTTTCAGAGGGGTTGTTAAGAGCCGGGGCTTAGAATAGAATGCTCACGAGGAAAGGAAGCCATCCCTGGCAGAAGGAACAGCTGGAGTGAAGGCAGAGCTCACTATTACCATTTTGTTTCTAAAACCCCTTTCGATTTGGAGATTAGGACATTGCAGCTGGGGTTTTGACAGATGTGTAGGAGATGGTGAGTGTGCGTGTGTGTTTGTTGTTTGTTCTTGTTTTTTTGGGTGTGTGTGTGTGTGTGTGTGAGGGGAGATAAGGGCTTGAAACACTCACATCAAATATCTGAGGCATCTGGGAAAAATAGAAGTGGGCCTGCTCTCGGTTGAAACGCTGTAGTTGGGCTGCGTACTCATTTTTGCTTTCTTCTGCCATGTGACTCCGGAGATGGGCTTGCTGCTTGGCCTGAGGAACATCGAGCTGGGGATCAGTCGCTGTCAGGGTCTGGCCCCATCCCACCCCAGCCTCTACACCTTCCCCAGGCCCCACAAGCACCTTCTCCACATCCGCCTTGGTGGCATTGATATCCTGGTCTAGCCGCTCTGCGGTCTGGGCTGCCTTCTCAGCCTCCCGGCAGTCCCGCTCAAATTTACGCTTGCTCTGTGCGGTGGACAGAACCAGAGTGAAGGAGCTGCCATCCCTGATGGCGAGGGGGTATGGGAAGCCACGATCCCAGCAGCTGGCAGGAAGTCACCCAGCAAATGGGGGGTGGGGGGACAATGGGCATTCTGGAAACCTTTTTTTTTCTTGGAGGGGGAGGGTGGGTTAGGGGAGAGGTTCTAGCCAGACAAAAGGCTCTGTGGGTCAGCAACCCTCACCCTGCTCCCTCACCCTGTGGACCAGAGCCACCATCCACACCCACAAACTCACATTCTCCAGCTGTTTGAAGCCACTTTCCAGCTGCTGCTGGGCCCGACGTCCTTCTTGGAAGTGCTGTGGGAAAAAAGAGTGACAGGCTCACTCGGGTCATGGCAGGGCCCCCAGGAAGACCCGGAAGGAGACCACTCACCATCTTCCTCTCCTGCTTCATCTCCTGCGAGTATTTGGCCAACTCGAGACACACGTGGACGCTGAGGTTCTCAGCCACGAGCTCCCGCTGGCCCGCAAAGTCATTTACTTCCTGGAGAATCTGCACGAAGGACTGCTGCTGGCTGAACCTCAGGGGAGAGAGGGGACAGCCAGCCAGAAGTCAGACCCCAGGACCCACCTCCACAGGAGAAAGGGGGAGGCTCAAGACAGTCACTCCTGAAGCACTGACAAATTCTGGCCCGTATCCCCTACCCCCACCCCTTGCTTGAGTGAGATGCATTTTGGGACTTAGAATATTTTGGGTTTTAGAAGGAGATGGCAATGCTTAGACCATCTTTTGTCTAGCATCCCAGTGGGATCAGGGACAACATCCTGTAACCAGACACTACAAGTATTTTTGCAGAAAGAAGGGTTAAAAATCAAGTGGGATAAAAACCAAGTCCATAATGGACCTGATCCCCACCAAGTGAGTTCTGATCAGAGGTGGCCTCCAAATAAGAAACTTTTGGATTTCTCGAACCCTTTGGGTTCTGAACATGAGACCCATATGGGCTGGACACTGTTTTAACACACTCATTCAGTTAATCTTCATGTGTGTCACCCACAAGGTCATAGTCATCATGCCCATTTCACAGATGAAGAAAACAGAGGCACAACCATTAAGTCACTTGCCCAGAGTCACTCACTTAGTACCTGCTGGAGCTAACAGATAGAGGTTTAACAGATAGAGGAAAATGGAAGCAGAGAACTGAGTCAATTGCCCAAAGCAGTTTGGCTAGAAAGTAGTGGATTTAGAATTGCAACCCTGATACTCTAGAGCCTGTACCTATTTTTAAAAAATGTTTAATTGGTGAGAGAGAGAGAGAGAGAGAGAGAGAGAGACAGGAATCGAACCCTCCCCTTTTTGGGTCACAGTGGCCAGAGCCTATACTCCTAACTCTAGGTAGGAATCTAGATAACACCTGAGGGATCTGATTGAGTGACTCAGCTATGGGAGAGAAACCTGGACAAAAGACCCCTGGCTCCCACCCCCATCCCTGCTTCCAGTCTAGCCCCACACCCTCTCCCCATCCTTACTTGGATTCAGGGTCATCTTTCGCAGGCCTCTTGGGGAGATATTTTTTCACCAGGTTCCTAGAGGGGGAGAGGCAGGAAGGCTGAGCCCCCAACCCCCCAACGGCACCCTCTAGCCCCAGGGCCTGTGCAGCCTAGGGTCTCACCGCAGCTGCTTCGCGTAAGCCTGCTCCACCTCCGTCCGCTCTTTCACGAACTTCACGTATCTGTCCAACAGGTCCAGCCCCCACTGCGTGTGCCGCTCTATCACCTCAAACTGATCCTGACGGAAGGGAGAGGGAGGACCGGGTCTAGATCCCGCAGCCAGATAGCAGGGAGCCTCAAGGCTCTGGGCTCCCTCGGAGAAGGAGTGGCTTCCCGGACCCGCCCCGGCTCGGACTCGGCTGGAGGTGCGGGGGGAGGCAGGAAACCAGCGGGAACCCCCTCCCCTTCCCGGGAAGGGCCAGGGAACAGGGGCGGGGCCCCAGCCGGACGACGACGACAGGGTCTCCGTCTCCGGACCGGCCGAGAGGGGTGTGGAATGGGGGTAGGGCCACTCCCCTCGCTCCGACTCCCCTAATCCCCCCGGATTCCGGAAAATCCGGCAGGCCCGGCGTGAGTCAGGGCTACCGGGGCCGGGTTCCCTGCCTCTTGGGGGTTAGGAGGGGCAGCATGGCCAAAGGGCAGGCACCCCGAGGTACTCAGTTTCTCTCCCCCGCTTCCTCACGAATTCCCCTGCACCTCCAAAAGAAACCTCAGAGTTGAGGAGGGGGCAAGGCAGTTACCTCGCTGCACCCGGGAACCCCACGGATGCCCCCGCCTCCAGAAAAAGGAGGGGTCGGAGGTCCCGGCTAGAATTAGGGGGGAATTCCTGGGACTTCCAGAACTGAGGTTAGAGGCTGCCTGGAGGCGGCCCCTCCCTGAGCCTGGAACAGAGGAGGCCAAGCCTCACGGCCCCTTCTCCCCGCAGAGCGTCCCTAGCCCCCAGGTGCTGATCGGAGGTGACGCAAAGGGCAGCCCGGTCTCCTCCGTCCCACGTGGGGTTGGAAGTGGCCAGAGGGTCCCCTCCCCCTCGCCAGGCGGACAGGCGGGCGGCGGGCAGGAGCCCAGGGGCCGTAAGATAAGCCGCCCGCCCAGCTCAGGGCGCCCAAAATAGGTGACCTCGCTCGGCCGCCCCGGCCTGGTCCCAGGACTTCGTCTTCCCCCTCAACGCGGAACCCGGTGCCTCAGTTTCCCCACGCCGCACCTGCGAGGTCTCCCTCCCCCTTGCCCTCGAGCTTCCTGAGTCGTCCCGGGAAACTCCTCGAGAGAGGAGAGAGAGAAAGAGAGAGAGAGAGGGCGGAGCGGGGACTACAGGAATCGGTGGAAGGGAAAGCGTGGAGCTCCGGCGAAGGAACTGCAGGGGGGGCAGAGGGAGGGTGGCGTCTGGACCCCCAGGAAGATGAGAACTTGGGAGTCAGGCCGATGGGACTCACCCACAGTTCGGTGCCCCAATCCATCTTGCTCCCGCCGAGGCCGCCGCCGAGGCCGCCGCACCCGGTCCCCGCCGCCCGCCGCCCTCCGCGGGGAAACTCAGTCGAAGGCTATGCGCCCGACCCCGCCCCGCCCAGGCCCCGCCCACTCGCGGATAGGCCCCGCCCCTTGTGGCTAGGCCCCGCCTCTCGGACTCTGCCCCGCCCCGGCCGCGAGGATCTCCAGCCCAGAAACCTAAAAGGGGGATTTGGAACTGGACAGACGCCGGACTCCCACCCATTTCCCAAATCCCCGGGCCCCTCTGAACTTCCCCGACATGCCCGGTCTCGGACTGTTCTAACTTTCCTCTTTCTCTTCAATCTTAACGGTCAAGACACTAAAAACCTCTAAGAGGTCCTTCCCCACCCCTTCGCAGGGAGAACCTGAGGTTACCCAGCTCTTGCGGGCCGGCGCGGCTCCAGACGTCTATGCTCGTCCCACAAATGGTCTGGTCCCTCCCGCCACAGGAAGGATCGGAGGACTTCGATCCTGCCCAGGACGCGCGGCTTCGCCAAGACCGGGTCCATTAGCCCCCACCGCATCCTGCCTTCCCTCCCCTAACGTCTGCGCCGGGAAACTGAGGACGGACCGTCCTTGGGGCGCCGGGCCCAGGCCTTTCCTCAGCTCCCGTCCAGTTAAAAGGGCTTGCACCTGCCCATTTTTCAGTCGCTCCCATCAAGACCCAATGAGGTTTAATTGTCTGTCCTGGGATTCCAACTCCGCCCATCCCTCCACGTTAGGGCCTGGGGCTGGGAAGTTTTGGTTCACACTGTTTGTTAATCCCTTTGAGGCTCTGGGATGAAAAGGGAGAGATCCCAGCAGTCCCAACCCTTACCCTCTCCCGCCTTTACTGCTTTATTGCTACCGAGGTGATAAACGCTCTGCTGGAGCTGGGCGCTCTGGCCGTCGGGACTAATTAGGCTCCCAGATGCCCACTAACGTACCAGGAAGCCCTGGAGGATAGCTTCTGGAGCTCACACTAGGAGAGATGGCTCTGTGGGGACCTGGCCCCACCTGCTGGTGGCTTCTGAGCTAGAAATCCTCAAGTTGTAAAGTGGGCTGTGCTCCAGAGTGTAAGGGAGGCTGGGGTCTGGACACAATAGCTCAGCCTGGGATTAGGGTCTCAGCTCTGGTTTCGAGCTCAGATTTATGCCAGGCTGGGACTGAAGTTGGGATGGGATCTCAGATGGGTCAGAGTTTAGCAGAGGGGTCAGCAATCCAGTTGTGTGTGTGTGTGTGTGTGTGTGTGTGTGTGTGTGTGTGTCTAAAAATAAATTCCTAGGATCTGGTTTCATCTGAGGTCTGGTCTCAGTGCAGGTGAGGATACCAACCACAGATGAAGGAAGACTCAGTCAGTGTAGGTCGAGGGTCCGAAGGGCGTAGGGAATTTGGGTTTCGGGATGAGGTCGGGGCTCAACTGCAGGAAGGGAACTCAGCCTGGGATTAGGGTTTAGTCCATCTCGGGGGTAGGACTCGCAATTGCCTCACTCTAGAATGGGAGGCTTCACCTAAGGCTGAGACTCAGACTGGGGTCATAGGTCACTGTAGGGTCAAGAGAGAGCCTGGGGCCAAGTTTAGGCTTCTGGGTTGACAAAAGTGATTAGAACAGGATAGGCGTCTGCAGATGCGCGTGTTTACTAAAAGCTGGAACTCCCGGGGGAAGCCACATCTCCAGGATCGGAAAGTGAAAGCCCGCCCTTGGGGATCCTGGGAAAGGTAGTCCCCTGAATGTGCGCAGTCTGTTCCCTCTGCATTCTGGGTACTGTAGTCCTGGGCCAGTCTCTTCGTTAAGAGTGGGTGGAGACATGGTCGGATATCAGATCTATCACAATTGGCTAGGTGAATTGTTTTAGCAAATTATTTCCGGTGAGAGTAAAGGCGGGCTAAGCGTTTATCAGCTCTTTCATTCGGAGCTGGTGCTGTCCATTTGGTGTCGTGAGGGGCGGGTTTGTGAGAGGAGAACCACTGATTGGTCTGGCGGGCTGGACAAGCCGCAAGGTCGGCCCCCACCGAGCGGCGATTGGCTCCTCGGCAGGCGGGCCTGGGAGCGTCAGAGGCGGAGTCGGGGGAGGTGGTGGCTCCAGGGGTGGTGCTGAGGGAGAGGCGGGGCCCGCCCGCGGGAGCCCGGTGGAATGGGGCCCGAGGCTACCTCTGCTGCTCCAGTTGGGCTGCGGTTCTGGGCGCATCCACTAGCCGGCGCTGACGTCGAGTCATAGTCACATCGCAGGCGATCTGGGCGGGGAAACGCATCTTTGCCCCAGAGAAGCCTCTGGCTTGCAGTGGTCTCTTCCTATTTCCCCCGCTACTTTTGCGGGATGGAGCGGTCCAGCGCCCCAGGCTTCCAGGATCGGAGAGTTCTCCTTCGAGGAGCACCCCCAGTCCGCCAGATTGAGTTGCTCAGTGAATCACGTTGGGGTTGTGCCACCCATCAGGGGCCGGGCTTCATCTGCCCGCACCCCTAAGCTCTTAGCTCTCTAAATTCCTGGGATCACATTGAGGGGGCTAATGGCTCTTGCTTGGCTCCATCCAGGAGTCCCCGGGGTCCTCTGGGCACTCATTGGGATCTCAGGGGCTCAGTTGAATTCAGCACGCTGGGGACTCAGTCTGGGATCTAAAAGTTGTCCGGGCGTTGAGGGCCAGACACCAGGAAAAATAGCTGTGCTTTCAGGGTGGTACTCACCTGGTGGTGGGGGTGGTTGTGGTGTTGGTGGAGGTGGGGGAGAGGGGGGCGGGTACTGCCAGGTGCCCAGGCTTTAGTCCTGGAATCTCAGAATAGTGGCGGAGGACACGGAAGCATTCTGTCCCTGCCTAGGATTGGTCTAGGGACACAGCCTCCAGGGAGACCCTCGCAGCCTGTTCTGTCACCACTTTGGAGCTGTCCTAAATAAAGGGGTGCCAGAAGGGGGCCACCGAAGCCCTTGGGGGAGCCTCATGCCCGAGCCCTAGGACTGGGTCCGTAGGAAGAAGTCTGAACTGCCTTTAGTCTCCTTGGTGTCCGGTAGGGGGAGAAGCGACCAGACATCCAGCTGAACAGCTTCGGTTTCTATACCAAGGGCTCTCTGGAGGTGAACCTGAGCCTCCCGTGGCTGGAGCTTCAGGAAACGAAAAAGAAAATCCCTTTGGGGAGAGGCTTTGAGGAGTTTGCTGGAGGAGGGTGAAGTGCACAAGTATCTAAACCCACCTCTCCCTAGTTCCGGATTCACATCTTAGTTCTGCCCCTCACCCATATGATCTTGAGCAAGTAAGTCCCTTGATCTCTCCGAGTCCCAGTTTCCTCATTGGGAACACGGGAATAATATCTCATGCAATATGTGTTAGGGACTGAGCGGAGGTGGGGGAGAGGGCATAGCAATGAACAAGACTGCTCCAGTCCCCACAGTTGAAATGAATAGCTAGCATTTATTAAATACCCACTCGATACCGGGTACCATGCAAAGCAATTTCCATAAATCGGTTTCCTGGTAGCCATCTTTCAGGGATGCTGCAAAAGCATCCTGTAAAGCCCAATTTCACACAGGCTTGGAGGTATGTGGCTAGCTCAGAGTCACAGAGCCTGCATGCAAATCCAAGTGTGCTGGATTCCTGAGTTCCAGGCAGGAAACCATCAACATTTTGTTGATTAAAAAAAAAAATGATTTCTCGCCCTTGGCCAGTATGGCTCAATTGGTTAGAGCATCATTCCGTACACAGAAAGGAGGTGTGTTGGATTCCCTGTCAGGGCACATACGTAGGTTATGGATCCGATTCCCAGCATGTGAGAGGCAGCTGGTCCATGTTTCTCTCTCAAATTGATATTTCTGTCTTCCTCACCCTTTCTTCCTCTTTAAAACCAATAAAAACATATTTTTAAAAATGTATTTCTTTTTAAAAATAAATCTTGTTGTTCAGATTGTTACAATTGCTCCTCTTTACCCCTATAGCTCCCCTCCACCCTGTTCCCACCCACCCTCTGCCCTTACCACTCCCCCCCCCCCACTGTCCTCATCTATAGGTGTGCGATTTTTTTTTTTTTAATATATTTTATTGATTTTTAACAGAGAGAAAGGGAGAGAGATAGAGAGCTAGAAAAGTCGATGAGAGAGAAACATCGACCAGCTGCTTCTTGCACATCCCCTACCGGGGATGTGCCCGCAACCAAGGTACATGCCCTTGACCGGAATCGAACCTGGGACCCCTCAGTCCGCAGACCGACGCTCTACCACTGAGCCAAACCAGCTTCGGCAGGTGTGCGATTTTTGTCCAGTCTCTTCCCGCACCTCCACACCCCTTTCCCCCCTGAGAATTGTCAGTCCACTCCCTTTCTTTGCTCTTAATTCTATTATATTTACCAGTTTATTCTGTTCATCAGATTTTTTTTATTCACTTGATTTTTAGATTCACTTGTTGATAGATATGTATTTGTTGTTCATAATTTTTATCTTTACCTTTTTCTTCTTCCTCCTTTTCTTAAAGAATTTCATATAATACTGGTGATGAACTACTTTAGCTTTTTCTTATCTGTGAAGCTCTGTTTTGCTGGGTAGAGTAATCTTGGTTGTAGGTTCTTGCTATTCAATACTTTGAATATTTCTTGCTACTCCCATCTGGCCTGCATAGTTTCTGTTGAGAAATCAATCTGACAGTCATATGGGTGCTCCCTTGTAGATAACTATCTGTTTTTCTCTTGCTGCTTTTAATATTCTCTCTTTGTCTTTTGCCCTTGGAATTTTAATTATGATGTGTCTTGGTGTGGTCCTCTTTGGATTCCTTTTGTTTGGGGTTCTCTGCGCTTCCTGGATTGTAAGTCTAGTTCTTTCGCCAGATGGGAGAAGTTTTCTGTCATTATTTCTTCAAATAGGTTTTCAGTATCTTGTACTCTCTCTTCTTCTGGAACCCCCATAATTCTGATGTTGGTATGCTTGAAGTTGTCCCAGAGGCTCCTTACACTATTTTTGGATCCTTTTTTCTTTTCTAGTTGGGTGTTTTTTGCTTCTTTGTATTTCAAATA